CTAAGAGTGTTCGAACGCAGGCCATTATCAAGAAAGTGGAGTCTCTGATCCTAAGAGAAAATTCGAGACTCAAAAATTCATCGCATCGAAACTAGGAGTGTCTTCCGAAATTGTAATTAAAATCATTCATAAGGATTTAAAGTTAAAACATATGCTCAAACTTAAGGTTTGTCTCCTTTTTCTTAAAACATACTGCTAAAAGAAAAACAAATTGTAAGAAATTATGTAAAAAACACCTAGCTGCTGAAAAAATGGAAATTTGATAACACTCGATGAGATATGGGTATATTTAAGTGACTGTAGTAAAAGATCACAATTTTCTATTGCTAAACTGAAGGGAATGACTGTATGAAATGGCTTCATCAGTGTACAGTAAAGTTCCCAAAGGGATTCATTATAGTTGTAGGATTTTCTAACAACGGCAAATTAAATATCAAAAAAGTTTCAAGTAAAGCTAAAATTAATTCACTCTACTATCAGCAGAATATTTTTGCACCAATTTTTGAAGAAATTCCAACTTTATTTGGAAAAGACATTGATAAAGTTGAGTTTCATATGGGCAAAGCCTCTAGTCACACGTTTAAGTCAACTGGCACTTATTTATTTATCAAAGAAAGAATACTCATAAACAGGATTGTATCCCATTTGATGAAATACGTGTAAAATCACTATACGCTTCCGCAATGGACTTTTGTGCTTTCGGTTTATTAAAATGAGCCTTAGGAAAACAGCATCCAAGAACACTGAATGGACTTTGAAAACGGTTCAAGAGGAATGGACTAAAATTTGCATGCCAGTTCTATATAAGAAAAAGTTTACTTTGATGAAAAATTCGATCTACAGCTATTGCTAAGAATCAGAGCTATCAGATAGAAGCAAATTTCCACAAAAAATACGGTATTTATTAATAAAAATTAACTATTCAAATAGCTTCCCTGAAGTGCGAATGACCTTCTGTATTTACTGGGGGAACTGTATTGCTTAAAAGATCGGTTGGGAGTGAACCGTTCATCAAAGTGCCTGCATTTCCATGTATATATGCAGAAACCATTCTATTCGTGCATTCGTCTGTCTCGAAAACGAAATGAGATCCATCACTTAATATCACAGGTCGACAATCTAAGGCGTCATCCTTGATTGACATCGTAGGCAGAGCCACCGATGTTTCGGTGTTAAAAGCAAACGGGACTGGGATCACAAATTCTCTTTTACATGGAGACCAAAAGTGCTCCTTGAATCTGCTTTGCAAGTGGAATGTCTCACTATGAGAGCACAGTTTTTCGGTCGTCTAGCCTTGTTGTCGCTGTAATCGCTAAAGATTCTGTGTGGTCCACTACTCCTAACACCCTCAAACACATTCAGCCTGGAGAGCATCGAACATTGTGCGATTTTCAGACCAATGAGGAATCCCCACTTGAACACGATTAATTGTGAGTTGTTTCTTTTTCGTTTACCTGCCATTGTAATCACCAGTACTCCATCGACATGGGATTTTGCGTTGATGGAATTTCTATCATTCCCCAATTTATATAGGCCGCGTGTGATGAATGCAATGCCACAGTGCAGCGTTTGTGGTCATGTATATCCGCAACAAATTTAGATCATTTGCATACCGGATTTCATTCTATTTATTTACATTGTCTTTTGGTTTTAACTTCCTTTCTTCTTGATGCGCTAATTTCACTGTCTCCGTTAGTGTATTTTTACAGAAAGATAATGTTTCTTTTCCCTTTAAAAATTCTTTAATTAAGTGCTCCTAACAAAATTTTCTTTTTGAAAGATTTAAAAAGATGAGACAGATCCACCGATTTTTTTTAGGTTTTTAAATTTTTCTAACAGAATTATAAAGCAAATTTTAAAGAATTCATTATACATTTTCCTTTGAAGAAATATTGTTTGAACTACTATTTTTATGTACTTTTGATTTAGAAAAATTAACAATGATAATATTTACTACATAGATGTTAAAATTTTAATAATTCTCTTTCAGTTATTTAATTTTCAATTGTCTGTGGCAATTTAGTTTTAGTTTTATTCTCTAGAAAACAATGAGATCTTAAAAATCTTCCGCTAAAATATAGAGAATGTCTACCTAAAATTATTTATTAAAAAAAAGAAAGAAAGAAAATTGCAATTCTTAAGAAAACATATTTTAGAGAGTTTAATGTAAATTTTCAGTTCATATTTTTAATATTAATCACGCAAGTTTACGCTGAAAAAGTTTAACTCATCTGATGAACCTCGCGTTCAACCTAATATGATGGGGAAAATATAATTCAAAAAAACTTATTTCGTTTTAAATAGGGAAATTTAAAAATAAATGATAAAGATTGAAATCCTGAGTGTAGTCATAACGAAGAGTTTCCTTGTGAGTTCCTCGTGGTGTGTTCCACAGCTGCAGTATTCGCTGGCATCTGTCCGGCACGGAGTTCATTGAAGGTAGAAGTGTGACATTAGCATTGCGGGTGTACGCTTTTCTGAAACTTTGTATTGAACTTTGGTTCCAATTGTTCAGTGTACTTAAAGAACGGAATATCAGACACAATAATTGAATTCGCTTAATTAGGTTGCAAAGATTAGATAGTGATTGCTAAAGAGATTTGTATTACTTATGGGAGTGCTGCCTTCGCGAGAGGACACTAAAAGGGTGTCGCAGGGAAATGACGAAATTAGAAATTGGATCAAATCCCTAAAGGGATAGGATCAATTCACGGGAGGTGTTAAAATAACGTCTCTTCAAGGTCATTTCCAGTAAGTGATTGGATCCAATCCCTGAAGCGGAAAGATGAAATGAACAAGATAGGATCTATTTTCGCTTGCTACTACTCTCCTTTACCCAGGGCCGGCCAAATGGGGCACCGGGGCCCTGCGATTCAGGACGCCCCAGTAGGATCAAAAATTAAAATAATGCACTTTAGCTCATGAAATCTTGACAATATTCCTGTCGCTGTCAGTACAAAGAGAAGTACATTCGAATTCGAGAAATTATTGTAAACATTATTATTCTAGACATCTGAAATTTCACAAACTTAAAAACTAATTCTTGATGATGCAAATGTTTAGTTTTGTTATTTGATTCGGGGAACTCCCAAGGATTCCCTTCTAAACTGGATATTTTAGAACTATATAATTTAGAAGTGGACTTATTCATATTTTAAAGCATCAAAGTAGAAAAATTTATATAAAAAATTTTTTATTAATGAAATTTCCATATTTCGAGTTTTTTTTTAATACCTACATAATTAAAAATCAGTTCAGATGAAGGGGAAAAAAATCAAAATTTGACCGAATTTGTATCTGAAAAGAAGTTTAATGAAACTATCGGGACATTTTTGAACTAGTTGGATAGAAAAGAAACTCTTTGTGGACTTGAAAAAGGATAGAATAAGTTGTAACAATCATTAACAGTTTAAATTAGAACCACTAATTAAACTGAAACGAATACATAAATCTTTTTATTATGGCAAAAAAATACGATGTTATGGAAGTATCTTTGGAAGTACAGAATCTTTGATTTTGAAGAGAAAGTCCGAATACGAAACCCAGTTGTAAAAATAGCACCAACGTAAAGTTTTTTTTCTTTGAGAAATACTTCAGTCAATACTTCTTCCACGGGGAGGAAGAAATAAAATGCTGTATAGTTTGAAGTCGAAATACCTAATATCTACTTCAGTTATACTGTAGTTTTTAAAGCTGCGCACGGTACTTCAGTCCAAAAAAAAAAAATTCTTACCAAAAGAATCGTTGCTTACCCAGTTTTACCTAGCGGCTTTAATCATCGTGGCTTAAATTGATTGAGTTGACTTACGATCGACCCCAAATAGAAATTACAAATGGGTACTAAACTACTAAGCACGAAACGAATTTCAGCTTTCTTCGACCTTTTGACTTCAAAAAGAGCTTCTGAAGTAGAAATTGAGTTATTAAAAATATTTTTGAAAGTAGGTTGTCCTCATAAACTACAAAGCGATAACGGTCTGCAGTTTACAGCTGATGTCATACAAGAATTAACAAACCTGTGACCAGCGCGCAATATTGTTAATGGTAGGCCTAGACACCCTGCTAGTAAAGTGTTTTTTGTAGAATACAATGTACAGATATATCACAGAAGATAATACACAGGAATGTACAGATATAATCAATAATGGTATTTGTAAAAATCCGGCTCACACATTATGTGGGAAAACATTAGGAGAAGAAGGATATGGATCGAATATTTTGTGCTATTTATGCCAAAAAGAAGAAAGCATTAAAGATCAAAGGGGAAAATACTGATAAGATCAGCTGAAAAAATGAAAGAAGTTTCTTTGAAGAAACTAAAAGACGTGTTAGTGAATTTCACAGCTTTGTTGCAGGTACCTAAGATAAAAGTCTATCAGATGGAAATAAGATAGTAGGGATCGCGTATTAGATTAAGAAAAAATAATTTGTCCCAAATTGGTACCTCAGTTGGAATTATAAAAGATTGCCTACCTAGAAAAGTTTATCAAATAGCTAAAACAACATTTACCAAAACAATTCCACATATTAATCTAACTCTGCAGGAAAATTATCCTTATTAATCCTTGAGTGTTCCTGAGAGCAATTCGAATTGCAGTGTAAAACAAAAAGATGTGCATGTAAAAAAAAAGGTATTTTGTAACTCGAGATGACACAAATCAACAACGTGTTTTAACAAAAATGTATAAGCTTTTTTTGTATTAATTATATTCACGAAAAAAATGTTTGAAATTTTATTACAAATTTCCTTTTCTTTAAAAAAAAAAAAAAAAAAAAAAAATACCAGCTTAATTATCTAATTCCTTTGTACATTAGTTTCAAATGAATAATTTCGTATTTTAATGACTATTGTTGTATTACTTACTTTACATTTAATACTGCACCATATTTGTTAAATAACCACTTTTAAACTCTTGGCAATATTATTTCATAATTTCACTGCAACAGTTCAGGGATTTGATCAAATCACTTATTTTCATCAGGGCAATGACCGCAGCCCCACTTAGTATGGTGGTTATGACACTTGGCTTGGAACCGAGTATGCTCGGGTTCGAATCCCGAATAAAGTATGGATGTAGTTTCGGGAAAAGAAGTCGAACTTTTTCGCTTGAAATGGATCCCCATCTCGCGAATGGAAAACAGCGCAGCGCTTCTGTTCCATGCTGGGACCATCATTTGTTATAAAAATTCTATATTCTTCTGTGTTCTATGTATCTGTTCCTCTATCTTTCGAATGTATCCCAGTATGAAACACACGACAGCAATAGGGAAATTACCTTGAAGAGACGTTCTTTTAACTTGTCACGTGATCTGATCCCATCCCTTAGGGTTTTGATCCAATTCCTAATTTCATCATTTCCCTATGACAGATGTGTGAGCTAACATAGAACCGAACGAAGAAGTGAAGAAAAATAGACTCTGACTTGGAGTGAGGTACTCCGCTATGATGTTGAAAGCAAATTTGTACTTTGGAGTGTTGGGAGAGGTGACGTGTGTTTTGAAATTTCGAGATTGTTGCCTCTGACCTGAATTTTCACTGTTTTTTTTTTTTTACAGTTAATTAATATATTTTGGTATACCTCTAAGAAAGAGGTTTTATATATTTATTTCCTTTCTTTTCTGGACTTTGGTAAGTTAACCAATTTCTTTTTTTCCCCATTTTTGTTGCTGGAAGGGGACTCAAGCTGAGTCACTCCACATTCCGGATTACGGAATCCGATGAAGCTAAAATGACTGATAACATGAAGAAAGCTACAGACTATAAATATTTTAAATCTACCCAGACTAACCAAGAATTAATTCTACGAATTGACCGTAAAAGCTTTAATGAAATTACAATTTTACTTGAACACACAGAAAAACCGGAAACATCCCTAAATCGAACCCCCATTTATTACATGCTGAATTAAAGAACAAAATACCAAGGCATAATAAAATAACGCATATGTACTTCACTCGAAGTGGAAAAATAAAAATAAGCACCTCGGATTCTGTATGCGCTGTTCAGATAACAGCTATTGAGCAAATTCTAAATATTCCAGTAAAAGCCAACATAATATGGGAAGGGTTCACTTTGCAATTCCTACTTTTTGACATCCCAACTAATGTACATCTGGCAGATGTGGCAACTGAATTAAAAAACTCAAATTATATTGAAATTGTTGAAATCCGTAGATTCATCAAGAAAAATAGTCGTCAAGAAGCTTCTCCTGTCTTAATTACTATTCTGGGCATTAATACACCAGAATGTGTAAAACTTTAGTTTTTTAATCATAGAACTCAATTATTCATAGACAAACCCCGCCAATGTAACAATTGTTAAAGTTTCACGCACTCATCACGGTTTTGTTCCAGCGATGTTCGATGTATTAATTGTGGAGGATCCCATTCTGGACAATGTACAAATCCTTCAAATTGCACAAACTGTAAAGGAGACCATCCGGCAAACTTCCCCAATTGATCCACTTTTATAAAAGAAAAAAAATCTCGAATTCAAATGTACTAAGCACTTAACTTTGGGAGAGGCTCGATGAAAATTCAAGGAAACTCACTCCGCAAATTACGCTATAGCAGTAAAAACAACAGCCCCAGGACCAAATATACAAGAATTCGAGAAAAAATTAGAAAACATAGTAGAAAATTTTCAAGCAGCTCTCGAAAAACAAACTACAGCCATAATAAACTCGATGCAAATAATGATCGAATCAATGTTTAAACATTTGATAGGAATAATAGAAATTAGTAAGCAATCATCATCGCCTATTAGAAAAAAAAAGTAAGTACCGCAACAGAAAATTGAAATATCCATACCAAGTACATCTAACAATATGGATATATATAATACATAAAAAAAATATTGAAACTGGATAATTTTAAAGTTTTAAGGGGACATGGTACGATTTACCCAATAATTTTTAGTATAAGGATTTTTAAAATTTTTTTGGTTGCCTCCAATGTGTGTATACTACGTAAAACAGATTTTGTGATCAAAATTTCATAAAAGGATAGCCATATAATTTTTTAAGGAAAAAGCTTAAAATTTGAGAAGTGATTTTAAAATACTACTCCTCCCACAAAAATTTACGTACACGCATGAAGTTTGATTTACAAGTATGTCAAACTATGTATAACAAAAGTTGGTATGGGTTTTGCGATAACGTGATTGGTATTTTTACAATATTTCTTTATGAATGCTTATTGAAAACTCCTTAAAAAATGTATAAATTCTGAGTTCAATTATTTTTTAAAAAATAAGTGTTTCTTTGATTCAAAAATGCATACCAACTTTTGTTAAATGTAATATTGGCAATGGGTAAAAAAAATTTCAAAGCATTAGGCATAATAGAAAAAAAGCCTTAGCATTTTAAATGAATACAAACTAGTTATATTTTATCTTTCTGAGATAAGTAAGTTTAAAGTTTTGATTTGCCATAGGGATGTGAATAAAAACGAACGTAAAAGTTATCACAATTCTGCGTTTTTCAAGTTTAGAGATTTCATATTTTGTGAGGATATAGAAAAGTATATAAAGAATAATTTAGGCTAAAAAAAATTAGATTTAAGTTTTTGACCGACTTTTGTCGATTGAATCGTACTGTGTCCCCTTAAATTGCAGATATTTTTCGCGAATTCTGAGAGTTACGTTTTTCTTTCTTAAAAATATAGATATAATCTATCTATATCTGTAAATATATTTCATCTCCTCAAACGGAGGATAAAAAAAAAAAAAATTTTTTTTTTTGATATTTTATTTTACCTAGTATATCTTTTTTATGGGTCTCCTACAATGGAATTGTAGAAGTTTAAAAAACCAACTTATTTGGTTAAAAATTCCTCCCTTTTCACAATCAGATGTTTTGATATTTCAAGAGACTTTTTTAAAACCTAACGACAATTTGCAAATCCCATGTAAAATCATTTTCAGACCAGGAAGGCTGATAGCAGTACAATCAAATATTTCTGCCAGACATCCTTTAATAATACACCATCTTCAGACTACGAAATTTTAATGTTGCAAATTATAATTAATGATACTTCCTTTCATCTGATAAATTTATATGCATCTCGAGGACTAAATATTACACAACTTAATTCTTTTCTTGATTACTTATATTGGATCCAGTTTTTATATTTGGAGATTTTAATTTGTATCACCCCCAATGTGGGGCTCAAAACATACTTTTCAATACAGTAAAATCTTTGTGGATTGGTTAACAAATTCTAATTTCATTATTCTAAATACTGATGTCCCAACGCATAGAAGCAATGTTGGTTCTAGTGCGCTTTTGGATTTTACTTTATGCTCTTCAAGTCTCATCGGATACAGCAATACTTTTGTTTTAGACAGCTCCTACAATAGTGACCATTGTCCTGTTATCACAGATTTTAATTTTCATAACACGATTAAATGAACTATAAAAAGTGGATTGGCTCTCAGTAATAAAAGAAGCAAAATTAACAGTTTTTAAGATAGACGATTACAATCATAATCTATCAGACAATATTGCTAAAATAATTTCAAATATAATACTAGAAATATAAAAATCTCTAATAGAATCTTCTCTCCCTGGTGGAATAATGCTTGTCATAACCTTTACAAACCTTTATTTACCTTTACAAACTTAAGAAATACTTCAGAAAAAAAGCCATTCGGGAAATCTCCTCAAAATTGGGGATTCGATATAAGCAATATTCCAGCCGGCTCCGATTTTATATCAAAAAATCCAAAAAGAAATACTGGGATACAGTATATGCAATAATGTTCCTATAACCCACACACAAGAATATTCTATAATATCCTTAAGAAAATCGCAATGAAAAATATATAATCCTGAATCAACACTGAATTTCCTTCAAATAAATAACAGAATAATATATCATCCACAGATTCAAGCAACACTCTTTGCAGAAAACTTCGCATCCAATGATATTATCCATGAGCCACTCCATTTGGACTTTTCTGCCCAAAATAATAGTTTAATCAACATACCCTTTCATATATCTGAATTGAAGAGAGCAATAAAATCTGCTAAGAACACAACCCCAGGTGCAGACCAAATCCCAGCTAAATTCCTGAAACTATTGAATCATAGTGAACGAATGATCATCTTAAATTTCTTTCAACAGATATTCGATAAGTCAATTGTCCCAAATGCATGGAAGCATGCTATAATTCTTCCAATTTCCAAACCATGCAAAGACAAAACTAAAATCTCCTCATATAGACCCATCGCTTTAGCTTCAGTTTTTTCTAAGACATTTGAAAGAATTTTAGCCAATCGAATTGCTTACTTCCTAATAACAGAGCAAAAACTACATCAGCAACATTATAGATTTGTTCCTTTTAAAGATAACAGAACAGCAACTTATATAATTTACAAAGCAATAACAGACGCAAAATTGGAAAAAAAATACTTCGTGGGGATTAGCTTAGATATTAAGAGTGCTTATGACTCCGTTTATATTGACGGTCTCATTTACAAGTGCTTACAAATTGGTATAACTGGGAAAATAGCGCTTTGGATGCATGAATTTTTATGTTATACATCGCTGCAAATTCGATGGAGGGGATGTCTTTCATCTGAAAAAACATTGCTAAAGGAACTCCCCCAAGGTAGTGTATTGTCTCCATTATTATACACTATCTATATGTATAACACTTTTTTGAAACATTGGAGACTGGAGTCGAGTGTTCCATATATGCTGACGACATATTTATCTATTCCTTACATCAATCACTTGATATCATCTGCCGTAAACTACAAAATACTTTAGAGAGAATAAATCAATGGTGTAATTATTGGAAATTGAGTTTAAGGTCAGACAAAATTACAATAGCTGAGCTCTCCAACAAAAGGATTCACTCATTTTCTAATATATTATTAGCTGGGGGACCCCTCTACCGTGGCAATCTTCAATTAAATATTTAGGAGTATATTTTTAAAAACGGAATCAAAATACTAACATCACCCATCATTTGAAAAATAAAGCATTGAAAAAACTCAATGCCCTTAAAGGTATGGCTTATAAGCATTATAGTCCGAGAGCTGAAAGTCTTATCCAATTAATC